CCCCCCCCCCCCCCCACTTGTCTGTCACCACGTTCGGAGATTATGATCCAAGACAAGTTGTCGATCAGCTTCCTCGCCTCCTTTCTCTCTCTCTCTCTCTCTCTGATTCTCTCTCTCTCCCTTTTTCTTTCTCTTTCTCTCATTCTCTCTTCTCTTTCTCTTTTCTCTCTTTCTCTCTCTCTCTCTCTGTTTTTTTCTTTCGATCTCTTCTCACTCTCTCTCTCTCTCTCTCTCTCTCTCTCTCTCTCTCTCTCTCTCTCTCTCTCTCTCTCTCTCTCTCTCTCTCTGTTTTTCTCTTTCTCTCTCGTTCTCTCTCTCTCTCTCCCCACTTCTCTGTCCTCTCCGCTTCCTTCAAATTTCTCTCTCCCCCTCCAACCCCGTCTCTCGCTCACCTCCTCCCTCTCCCTTCCTTCCTCTCTCCATCCCCCCTTCCCTTCCATCTCCCTTCCTCCCTCCATCCCTCCTTCTGTCTCCCTTCCTCCCTCCCTCAGGAGACCCCAACTTTCCCTTCTCGTGGTCTGGTGACGTCACGGCTCAGTAGTGCAGATTCCCCCCCTCCCCCCTCCTCCCCCACCTCACTAGACGTGACCTAGCGTATACTGCCCTCCCCTCCCTCCCCTCCCCCCCTTATCTCCCCATCCCCCCTGGAACGACCTGGAATAGAGAGCTACTTTCCATGGTTTTGTATTTATGGCAACTGCGGCAATGGCGGAGGTGTCGTTAGTGTTTTGTTTACCTGCGCGCGTTTCGGCGACGGACCTAAAGCTTTCTCTTAAACTTGATTTGAGAGTGTGAGAATTCGCTAGACTATTCTTATATCTTTATCTTTTTTTTATCTTTTTTTCTTTTTTTGTTTGATTGGAGGAAGGGTGAGAGTGAGAACAACAAACTTGCTGAAGGATTATTTTTTGCGAGTTTTTTTTTTTTTCATCTTTTTCTGAAATGACCTTTTCTTGTCTTTTGCTTTTAAGGTTCGACCAACCTTTCCCTTCTTCCCAATAGACGCAATAATTCACACGTCCAGAATTTTTTTCTTTTTTTGTAATTTTCGCGACAAGATGTAGCAGAAATTGTGACGTCATTGCAATTGTTGATAGGCTTGTTATCTCCTGTTACTTCCCGCTCGCTTATCGTGACAGTAAGAGCGGGCAAATTCTCCTGTTTGATTATATAAAGTACCATAAACGAAAATAAATACTACTAATCGAATAAAAATAGAACAAAATATGTAAAAGGAAAATACATACACGCACACACGAACACACGCAAATCAGAATTACTTCCTCCATCTTACACCTTTCCTTTCTATAACTCTCTTCTCTTTCCTTTCTCACTTTTCCCTCCTACACCCCCCCTCCCCCCCCAAAAAAAAAAAAAAACGAGAGAGAAAAAAAAAATCCTAGAAACGAAACTCACCTCAACGAAGGTACACAAAATTACACCCACGTATCCGGACGCGTTCGTTCGTGCGAGTGATAACGAGACACCGATTTTGACAGACAGACACAGACAGACAGACACAGACACACTAGCTTGCTTCATTTCTCTCTCATCTCACTCTCCCTCACGTCTCTGCGGCCTCACCATTCTCCCTCGTGCATGGTAATGAGGTGTAATTAATTGTACTATAAAAAAGGTAATTATCCAGTGTCGTCTGCTATCAATCAGTCGCTTGATTTTGTGGCTGGTTGTTGTTGTTGTCTCTGTTGTTGTTGTTGTTGTTGTATTTATCCGTCTCTCCGTTTTCTTTGCTTAAGGCGATGGTGTTATTAACGAAATTTTGATTTTTTTTCAGTATTGTATTTTCTTTTTAATTATCATCATTACTTTCGCTTTATTTATAACTTATTTGCTATTTTTTCTTATTATATCTTTCTTCGCTCGCTCACTTTCATCTACCGTCACTTTAAGAGTCTCTCTCTCTCTCTCTCTCTCTCTCTCTCTCTCTCTCTCTCTCTCTCTCTCTCTCTCTCTCTCTCTCTCTCTCTCTCTCTCTCTCTCTCTCTCTCTCTTTCTCTCTCTCTCTTTCTCTCTCTTCTCTCTCTCTCTCTCTCTCTCTCTCTCTCTCTCTCTCTCTCTCTCTCTCTCTTTCTCTCTCTCTCTCTCTCTCTCTCTCTCTCTCTCTCTCTCTCTCTTTTCTCTCTCTCTCTCTCTCTCTTTCTCTCTCTCTCTTTCTCTCTCTCTCTCTCTCTCTCCACTTTTCCTCCCTACCCCCCCCCCTCTCAAAAAAAAAAAAAAAAAAAAAAAATCTCAAATAATATAATGGCATTTGCCGGGGACACAAAAGAGAGGAAACAACAATACCTTTGTTGAGAACTCGGGAGCACTGAGGCCATGACGGGGGGGAGGGAGAGGGGGGGGAGGGGGAGGGGGGAGGGAGGAAGGGAGGGAGAGGGAGAAAGGGGAGGATGGGGAGTTGGGGGAGGGAGGGGAGGGGAAGGAAGGTGGAGGGAAGGGAGGGATGGATAGGCGGGGAGGGAGGAAGGGGGAGGAGGGGAGATGAAGGGAGGGAGGGAAGGAGGGGATGGGGAGATGAAGGGGGAGGAGGAGGGAAGGGAGGGGGAGGGGGAGATGAGGGAGGGAGGAGAAAACGCGGAAGAGGGAAAGGGAGATGGGGGAGGGGAGGAGAGGGAGGGGAAGGGATGGGAAAGGGGGTTAGGGGAATGCGATGCTGAGGAGAGGAAGGGGTGATGGCGGAAGGAAGAGGGAAACGGGAAGGGAAAAATAGGGAAAAGGGGAAAGGAGGAGAGGGAGAAGGGAAAGATGGAAGGGAGGAGAGAACGAGGAAGTGAAGAATAAGGTGATGATAGAGAGAGTTAACATTCACTCTCACAGCCTCCCTACCTTACACATCTCACGGAAAGAGAGAGAGAAAGAGAAAGAGAGAGAAAGAGAGAGAGAGAGAAAGAAAAAGAGTAAGAGTAAGAGTAAGAGTAAGAGAAAGAGAAAGAGAAATAGAGAGAGTGAGAGAGAAAGTAAGTAAGAGGGAGAATAAGAGAGAGAGAGAGGGGGGTATATCCACACCATCACACCCCTCTCCCTCCCTCCCTCCCTCCCTTCCCTTCCACCATCCTTCCCCCTCCCCCTCCCCCTCCCCTCCCCCCCTCCATGCACAACTTCCGTGATCCCAAGAACATATCTCGACTGATTGAACTTAAAAGGAAAGAGCTGAAAAGGGAGTTTCCATTTTAATTCTCTTCTTCCTTCTCCGTCTCGCGTTTTTTTTTTTTCTTATCTTCTTTTTTTTTCTTCTCTCTCTCTCTCTCTCTCTTTCTTTCTTTTTTTTTCTTCCTCTTTCTTTCTTCCTATCGCGCCTGTCACCCACATGTTTACCAGGCATTGCGCCGATACGTGATAGGACGCTATTGGGGGGGAGGGAGGGAGGAGGGAGGGAGGAGGGAGGGGAGGGAGGGAGGGAGGGAGGGAGGGAGGAAGAGTGAGGGAGGGAGGGAGGGAGGGAGGGAGGAGGGAGGGAGGAGGGAGGGGAGGGAATGAGAGAGATGCAAGAAGGGAGAAGGAAATGAAGGGAGAACGGGGAAGATGAAGAAACCGATGGAAGTGGAAGAAAGGTGAAGGGGAAAAGGATGGGGAAGGAAAGGGAGTGAGGAGGGGGGAAAGGGAGGAAAGAAAAGGTAGAGAAGATGGAGAAAGGGAAGAGAAAAAAAGGTAGAGAAGAGGGAGAAAGGGAGAGAGAGAGAGAACAGAAGAATAGAATGCGGAGAAGAGGAGAAAAGGAAAAAGGGAGAGAAATGGCAAGCAAAGAAGGAAAGACGAAAAAGTAGGAGGGAAAATGGGAAGAAGGTGATCAGATAACTGAAAATAAGAGGAAAAGGAACACTTAATGAAATAAGAAAGAAATAGAGTGAGAAAGACTAAAATTAAGGAAAGGGAAACAACATTTGATAACGGAAGAGACAAAGATAGGAAAGTGTGAAAGGAAATAAATAACAGAAAAAAAGGTAAATATAGTAGATAGGAAATGACAAATACTGAAAATATTTCTTAATAACGAAGAACGCATGTTTCTCCTATGCGCTTATTCGATGAAGTCGCTTGAAGTTATTGATCAAAAAGAACCCCAGAGTTTGTGATTTGCAACATACGACTCTGAGGTCATCTAAAATTTATTGCAAAACCCGGTGACTTCGCTAGGGCGGTGATTGTAGTCATATAAGGAATATCGGTGACTGTCAGTGAGATCATTGAAGAAATAATGGTACTGGAAGTGTCTCGCCGTGATGGACGTGTCTGCGTGACCAGCGAAAGATGTCTAATATCGTAAAAAAAAGAAGAGAGAGAGAAAGAGAGAGAGAAGAAAAAAAAATGATACTGATTTTTCGATATTGGTCTGACGTTGGCGAATATCGCACTTATCGCAAATGAGAGTTTCGAAGGTTTAGTTTTTGGGAAGGAGTAGTTTTGCGCGCGGTCGCCGAGACAATGCAAAGGGGTCGTTGTGGACACGTCACGGCAATGAATGATTCCATTCTTTATCTTTTTTTTGGAAGAAACGGAGCCTTTTCTTAATGGGTCAACGATGATGACCAAACGTCTTTGTAATCTGATAAAATCCAGCGACATTTACCATTTAGGTCACTGGCGTTCGGGGCGAGAGAGAGAGGAAAAAAAGTAGCGAAAAAAAAGAAAACGTTTGACCTCGCGCTCTCTTACGGGAAACTTTTTAATCCCGCGGACGTTATTTGTGATCGCGCGGGAAATTTCGCTCGAGATGTCACGTGGTCTGGCGTGACATCTCTCGGGTGTCCGACATGAGACTTTCTCGCACTCACTTAGGGCTTTCCAGTCTAATTACTCCCATTAATGTCTTAGAAGTACAGTAACTCTTAAAAAAACGGATTGTTAAGTGTATTCGATCTGAAGTCTTTTTTCCTTCTGGCTGACTTCCCCGGTAAAGATATGCATAATAGTGACAGAATAATATGATATGACATTTCACAGTGACGTAACTAACGCGAGGCAGAGTGCTGACTCGCCCCGCCATGGCCGCCGAGGCTGCCGTTTCCCCGCCCTCCGCGCCCGCCGCTCCTCAACGGACCCATCACGCTACGCTGACTTCCGTGACCTTTGACCTGTCCGCATCCTACGTGTTGACGCTCGCCTTTCCACTCTCAGGCTCTCGTAAACAGGCATGCACGAATGCACACATACACACACACACACACACACACGAGCGGTGACACACTCACACGGTTCTCTCTTTCGCTCTCTCTCTCTCTCTTCCTCTTTCTCTCTCGCCCGCACACCCAACCCCGAGGCGCCGCGGACACCTGTGGCGATAGTCATTGTCGTGACCTAGTGCCGAAGGGTCGTTGGCGATGCTGCTGCTCCTCCTGGCGGTGGCGCTGACGAGGACGATCCGGAATTAGTGTTTTATTAGCGTTTGTCTCGAATAGTGTCTCTCTCTCAGGTGCGTGTTGGTTGGTGCTTCGTGGAATCGAGTTTGAAACTTGGTGATTTCGGTTGGTGTTGTGTGGTTGCGGGATTGACTGGGTGATTGCGCTGGTCGGTTGGTAGTGATGGTTAGTGGCAACTGACATGGTGATTTATGACTGTTTTTTCGGAATTGATATGAAGATTGATGGTTTTCGTGATGACTTTTAAGTGCAATTAGGGTGTGAGGACGTGGCGTTTGTGATTGGTGTTTTTGAGGACGAAATGAACGTGTGGTGACTGGGAATGATGCATAATTAATTTTAGTTATCATAGGCATGGTCATTTTAGAATAAGAATAACATGTTTAGCAGCATAGTAATTGTTTTCTCTCTCATTGTTGACAGAGCTACGCCGTGTTCAGTGAATCCACCCCCGTGGCCACGATGCAGTCAGCACCTTCAGGAGGCTTCAGCCTGTACCCGCGGGCGCCAGTGTCCGTGGTGCCGCCCGCTCTCCTCACATATCAGATGCTGGCCTCACAGCCCCCGCGGGATCCTCCCCCCACCTACCCCCTCCTGCATTCCTCCTTCTTCCTCCCCATCCACCACGGCCGCAGCCCGGCCCTCTCGCCTCACTCGCCGAAGGAGGGGGAGGAGAAATCCGCGCCGGCCCTTCCGTCGTCCCCGAGGGCGCAGACTGCGGGGGACTCAGCCAGGAGCTCCCCCGCCTCCTCGCCGCGGCTCTCCGCCACCCACGCCTCCCTCAAAGTCACAGCCGTCATCGACGCGGCGGCGGACATACCGGCCGCCGCGGACGTCGCCGAGCTGAGGCTGGGCAGACGAACAGACGCCGAGGACGACAAGAGAGAGCTTCCGCTCGACCTCACCACCAAGCGGAGGCTGGAGGGCGAGGACGGCGCTGTGACCTCCAGCCACTCCGACAGTGAAGCCCCCGACGCCACGAGCGACGACAGATTCCGCTCAGAGAAGCCCGAGAGCCAGGCGGAGGCGAGACCGAAGCCCCGACAAGACCATCCCTTCCTGAGAATAAGCGACTTGCTGAAGGACTCGCCGCCGACGGCCTCTGCGCCGCCGACGACGCCGCCGCAGGTCCAGAGTGAGGCTCCTACGAAGCTGCCGCTCGTCTACCCTCGGCCTCTCCATCCCGCGACCCTACTGGACATGTACAGGTCCTTAGACCGCAGCGCCTTCATGGCGGGCAGCTGCCTCCCTCCCCCACGCTATCCCCTCTTCGGCTCGCTGTTCCCCCCGGCGAGCCTCCCTCCCGTCACCCCCACCAGGTCGGTCGGCCTCGACTTCTTCAAGAGCCACCTCCCGGCCACGCCTCGCCACTACGCGGACCTCGTGCGGCCCTACAGCGACCTCCTGGCGCCGCACACGACTCGCAGCGCCAAGGACAGGTATACGTGCAAGTTCTGCGGCAAGGTGTTCCCGCGCTCGGCCAACCTGACGCGGCACCTGCGCACGCACACGGGCGAGCAGCCGTACAAGTGCAAGTACTGCGAGCGCTCGTTCAGCATCTCGTCCAACCTGCAGCGCCACGTCCGCAACATCCACAACAAGGAGAAGCCGTTCAAGTGCCCGCTGTGCGACCGCTGCTTCGGCCAGCAGACCAACCTCGACCGCCACCTCAAGAAGCACGAGGAGGAGGGCCCCAACCCCCCCGACTCGCCCGAAGCGCCGGAGATCCCTGACTCGAGCGTGGCGTCGATGTCGAGCAGCAGCGCGGCCGATCTGGACGCCGACAGACTGGACGTCGATACGGACGAAGAGATCAAGCTGGAGATCACAGCGGTGCCGGCGAGACTCGTTTCGGGAAGCTGCGCCGCCGACGACAGCGCGCCCGACGAGCTGCTCGCCGCGGCGCCCGACGAACCGCCGGCGAAGCGCCCCAGAATAGAATAGCTCGTCCTGGGGCCATTCACTCAGCTAGACCTAGTCCTAGGGAGTCCTTTTAGTTCAACGCCCTTATTTGTTGTTTGTTAATTTGTACAGTTGTACAGTGACTTGCAAATCGGTAATGATTCAGATATGTCTAGTCTGTTACAAAAAAGAAAAAAAAAAGAAAAAAAAATATCCAGAGGGGAATCTAGAATCACCTTCACTGCCAAGTTTGACACAAAGTAATCACTAGACATTAAAAGTGCACTTGAATAGATAACATATTTTTTCTATATAATCTAGTCATGAAAAGTACCTCACCAAAGACAGTTTTCTTCTTCATTATGACAAATCCAAACAAAACCGCGAAAATAAAGTGTATTGTGTTTTGTTGGAAAATTTCATCCGTGTCCTAACCTGACGATCTTTTAGTTATAAGTCAACGGAGGCTAGATCCTTTTTTCCATGACTTTTTATGCCATTCCTGAAGAATATTTAGTGATATGTTTGTATGTAAATAGATGAAAGGGGTAAATAAAAAGATATTCATTAATGTGGATTGTTTATTGTATTGCCTATCTTGAGCTTTTTCATACACGTTCACATGAAGACATAAACACGCACATTCACATACACACCCACACCAAATTCCTCTCTCCCACACACTTGCACAAACACGCACACGTGTTCAGAAACACACTCGATAAATATATAAATATATTTCCATAAAAGAAGAGAGAGCTATTATCCTTCTTATAGAAAAAAAAGAAACAAACTAATTCTTAACAACACACACACAAAGAAAGAACAATGTTTACAGAAAAAGGTTAACACTGAAAGACCAATATTTACAGAAAAAAAAGCTTACCATGAAGAAATCGAGTTTA